GTTGTTTTTTCACAGTGAGGGAAACATGAAAACATTCATGCAGATTCTTCATTATTTAATTTCTTCAAATATAATACACGGCGATAATATTTGGTGACAACAATTTGAAAATTGATACTATGCTTTTAGTGATATAACGCATGCCGTTCCAAGACTAATAGCCTATCTGGGCTGATAATTAAAAACAATATTAAAAATACAAATTAAAAAAAATCTGAAAGCTTTCATATTTTACATTACGCCCAAAGAAACATTGTGTGTTACCTTTTTATTTATTAAAAGTTCTTGGCACTTAAACCATAAAATTCAATTCAAAAACAATATTCGCAAAATAATTTTAAAATGAGCATATCTTTAGAATTTCCGATACACAGTCTCCCGCGCTGGAGATAAAAATGTTTTCTTTTTCGTACAGTGTTGCCATTGAAATCGTTGAGTTCGTTAATCAAAAATTCGTTAAAGTTTTACAAAATATGAAATCTGTAATAAAAGAAATTGCAAATTAGGGTTTTCAGATGCCCATATTCGCAGGAGGATTACGTTATTCAAAATTGTCTCTAGGTACCGTGATTTTATCACAATGCGAGAAACATGCATGCATTTATGCAGCTTCTTTATTTCTTTACTTTCTTTAAATATAACACAGGACGATAATATTGGTGGCAACAATTTGAAAAAAAAAAGTTATAGTAAATTAACGCAAAATGCCAAAACGAAATTAATAGCCCTTCTGGGCTAACGCCCTTTGCGCTAAAAATGAATTAATTAATATATTGCAATAAGAACACTAGAATTTGTATCGCGTAAATTGTATATATAGAAATAAATGCAATTATATTTACAATCGTCTGCTTCAAGTACATTAAACAACAATTATACGATAGCATCCACATATGTGCAGCATTTACTTCTGAAATTACAGTCGACAATATTTCACCATTATTTGATTTTGGTTTGAAAGTGCTCAAATTCAGCAATTAGCTGCAACCCGACAGTTGTGTCATATACTTCAACCAGTGAATTCTCATTAATTACATAATGCTCTTACTTCACTATTCGCCTCATAGTTAGAAACAGCAGAGAAGCGTGAATTTTATGCAAATCCGTGTACCGGGGAGCCATCAAATTAAACTGAAACAGTTTTCGAAAGATGTAAAAGGTAACCATTTGCTTGGAATCCCGCGGTGTGTCACAACGCGCCAGGCCTGCTAAATAGAATACCTTAACCATCTGTTCGCATTATAGACAGGTTCATTGATTGCTACTTAGTACTTTGACGTTTGCGTAGTATGTATTCCGATGATGATGATAATGTTTCTTACTGTTGGAGATAATGCGATCTTTTTATTCACGTATGACCAAAAACTGGGATGATTTAAAAAAAAAATTCAGATTTTAACGAAAACCAAAGTTATCTATTCCATATAAAATATTTCAAATTAAAAAGGTAATATATTAAAATTTTAAAATATAAACTCATATAATATTACAGTTAATGCACAAGTTAAAAGAAATTAATAGTGATGCTAATAAAACATTTTTTAAATCTTTGTCTATGAACCTGTGGCAGATTTTGCTAATCCCATAATGTGTTTAATTTAATCTAGTATATCTTTCTGCGTTTGAAAACATTGCTATAGAATATTTTTATCCTTATATGAGGTATTTCTCCCATCTTCTTAGCATGCCTTCGTGGTGTAGTGGTCAGCACACTCGGCGCGTATTCGAGAGGTCCGTGGTTCGAGTTCCGGCGAGGGCATTGCTCATTTTTCATCTCGCTTGCCTCAAAATAACCTAATTTCCCTACAAGATCATAAATAAATAACTAACACGAATACTCCCTTATCATATCATTCTAATTTTATGTTTAATGTTTGTTAAAGGCCTCTTCATCCTAACAGCCTTAGAGTACTACTGTTTCTATACTTTACTGGTAAATTTTATTAGCTCTTTAATGTTCTTAAATTGCTTTTAGAACAGACTGTTATAGGATATTAATATTATAAGAGCAATTAGTAATACCATGTCATATTTTTGTGATTTTGTAACGCTATACTTAATCTTAGACTGAGAAAAGGCCCATTCATCATAACGACCTGCGAACTTCAAAATATCATGCAATAATCGCCGTTATTAAAATAAGATTAGCACCATTATGAATATTAAATTACTTATACTGGAACATCATTTCTGTTTTGCAACTAAAGATGAAACTTAAACCTTGCGGTAGTCGATACTTGTTGACACCAACTTTTAATAAACTGGTCACCTATGTTGAGCGATGCAGAAATATCAAAATCTATCAACAATACATAATGGTAGCTAGATGAGTTTTGAATACCGCTCCACCGGTATAGTGGTTAGCGTCTCTGACTGCCGTGCCGAAGGGCCAGGTTTCGTACCTCGGAGAAGGCATGGATGTTTGTAAATGTATAGTGTCAGTGCGGCATGGTCGCACTCTAAATATGCGGCGAGTCCTCTCGTGTGGTTTGGTGGATCTCCCCCCCCCCTCGAGATGCTCTCCGTCAAATTTGGGGGCGGAATTGAGCTAAATCCCACTGTCACCTGTATGGTGCTTGACGATAGGCGTAATCTGCAACACAATACGCGAAATAAACAGCAATCCTTTAATGTGCAACACAATATGCGAAATAAACAATAATAAACAAGTGAAGTAGTCCCAGATTCAAAATTGCATAAATTACGGAGTAAATGAGCATAATTATTGCAGTATTAAGTGCACAAAGTAAATAAATAAAAAACTTTAAAAAGGAAAAAGAATCTGAAAGCTTTCAGATTTTATACGTATTACGCTCAAAGGAGCGTTTTTAGCGTTTTCTGTGTTACCTTTATTTATTAAATATCACGTTATTTGCACAAACAACATAAAATTCAATTCAACGGCAATATCATGAAATATTTAAATATCTGTTTGTTATCTGTTTGTTGTATCTATATCTGGCACATCAGTATCGAGCTGTTGCTAACGACAAGCGTAATCTTACGCTCCTTGCCACGAGGAATTTCGTGGGCTCAGGCTGACTACGTCAGAGAAGTGAGCATTAAGTAAGAACATAACAACAACAGATGAAGCTTCGTCTAATCACTTACAGAAGAAGTTTACCTACTACCCAAGACTACAGAAGATTTTACGCAGTCTCCCAGAAAATCTCGCCTTCATTTTCCAAAAAGCAACCATCTGGATCGGAGAGCAAACAGTTACTATGGCAATGGTGAGAAAGCTTCACAGCAATATAAAAGTGCCTGTACTTTTATTCATGTCGCAAAAGTTAGAAATCTGCGTAAGGATGCCGAAGTATAAACATGAATTTACCCATAGGGAAACATAGGTCTCTAACTCAGTCTTAAAAAGCAGCCTTCACAAAAGTTCAGTCACCTCTCTGCCAGGGCACTACTATGAAAATAAAATATTAGTTCGCTGCTCTGAGAGCCAAAGGAATTGAAAATCCTACTTTCATTGTAGCGCCTTGGCATAAAAGTGCCGCCAACGTAATTTTCACAAGTTCACAAGCCCTTTTCACAAGTTAGAAACTGATCTTCATAAGAATACAGGCCTCTATATATGCGGGGACACTCTTGAGAAATTTAATGTATTTTCGAACAACAACATAAAGGTGTCGGACATTTTATGACAAGATAATTAGGGTTCCCCGTCCAGGGATGTTCTTCACGCACAGATTTTCGAGAAGTGGTTAATTTCCCACTCGCATTTAAATTGAGTGTGCTTTACTTATGCGTAATCTTCTGATCTGGGTTACTATTTATGATGGGAATTACAAGGAAGCTTGGGCAGTATTTAATTCATACCTAACTGTTACTAGAGCTTAAGATAAATGTCGTACTTTAATACAAATTACTGCATTTTCTCCCTTTATTATCTCTTATAGAGACTCACAAGAAGTGTTCTGTGTGTTAATTTATTTCATATATTTTAGTGACGAAATTTAAGAAACTTGAGTTTAAGGAAATACCGTGAACCCATACGGAAATACCGTATGGGATAAAAGTACGTCATAGATTTATTTTTTAAAAAAGCTGGTGATTTTTGTTTGGGACAGTGACTCACACAACTCTAAAAACTCCATTGCAAAATCAGACAGTTACTATGCCTGTTTCAACAATTCATTTAACTTCCTATAAATAAGCTGTCCAATCGGGAAAGTGGTTAGTGAATCTGATTTCAGTCCGAATCCCGAAAAAAGCATGTAATTGAAATTTTCTGTCCTTTCTGAAGGGACTGTCCCTTTATAGAAGGTAAAGGTAGCGGCCTATTAGGTACCTCCATAACGAAATTATCACCGCTTCTGGCCTTAGCATTGGCCAAAGCCTAAACTGGCTAATGCTCGCAATTTAAAAACAAACTTTTTGTAAATAAAAATCTTCGTTGTCACTACTTTCAGCTTGTGTTACAAAATCATCGACTTCTCGATTAATTCTTTGACTTCTTATTCTTCCGTATCTGAAAATCCTTCGCCATCATTCGCTTTTGTAATTTATACGATTTCTGTGGCTTCATTTTCAGTCGGGTGAAATCCTTTAAAATTGTTTGGTAACTTTGGCCAGAGCTGATGATACCAAGAATTTAGTGTTGATGAATGAACTCTGAACTGCTTATAAATAAATTTCTACCTTTGGACAAGCTAAATAAAACAATTAAAATAATGCATACAAGGGAAATCGCATTCCGCAAATTCACGTTCGACATGGGTTTTCTGTACGCTCATAAAACTAAAATTGTTATTATAATTAAAAAATTACAAATAAATTTTGGAAAATGCTTGCAAAAATGATTTTACCTCATATTTAGCACTATAATTCAGTTCATACTAGTAAATTATTTTGGAATAGAATTCACTTTGTAAATATCTCTTCTAGTAGTCAACAATTTCTCAAGTTTATTCTGTAATGTAAACAGTATAAGTATTTGTCCTGTATTAAATTTTTAGTAAATGGTTACGATTATGATTTTGCTTTTTCAGGTACAGGTACATTCGGCCGTGTAGTCCTATGCCGCCGGAAGAAAGACGGACGGTACTATGCAATGAAAATCCTCGAGATCGCAGATGTCATCCGGTTGAAGCAGGTAGACCACGTTAAGAACGAAAAGGCCCTTCTAGTCCAAGTCCAGCATCCTTTTATCATCGAATTGTAAGTAAAGGTTCTCAACTTATTATAAATAAAACAGCAACAACTTTTCCCAGGTTAAACATAGTTTTCTTTCATCAACTTGAAAAGGGCAGATTTAAGACTGCGGTAATATACTAGTTGATGCATTTTTTCAAGTCTATCCGAGGAGTCCTTGGGGAAAGACCTTGATAATTTTAAATGAAAGTTAAGGGTGTTTTCTCCTTAAAAAATTCTAAATTCTCGAAAAATATTAATGTCGCATTGAATTCTGCAAACAAATATAATGCTATTATTTTCTTGAACAACAAATGTCTCCATCCGAACACTGTAGCCGTTATAGATTGTATTCTTGTTAATGTTTTCAAGTGGTAATGTTTTTCTTGAATTAAGTTTGCTAATCCGCATAACTTTATGTAAGATTCATGACCGAAACCTGGTAACATTTAAACTTAGATATCAGAAATTAATGATTTCATAAGCTTCTGCCTCTACTGTTGATTGTGAAATGGAAGACAAAATGATAATCTAATTGCTGCAGTATCTTCAACATCCGGTAGAGAAGGAATTTTTCGAAAAGATAAATTCTTCTGATTTATTATTTTGCGAGGAGTCAGTTTTGAACACTGTCATGTTCTGCGACGCGTCTTTGACTGTTTCTTATAAGAGCATCGTTCATCGTCATGGCGACATTTCCACGTTAGATTATCATTATTCTTATGAAAGCATCATGCTGACGATAATTCATATTTAGATAATGTTCTCACAAACAAAGCGTAGTTTCATCCTAGTGGCTACTCTTAGCAAAAATTATGGAACATGGAGTTCTGGAAATCTATATGTGTTTATACAGTATCCTTTGTATCTTGCGAAAATCGTTGGCTAGTTGTCCATGCCAAGACTACGAATAATTTGCCCTCTTCCCTTTTCTCTAAAAACCATGGACTTTAAGACTGGAAAGCTTTATGTCGACGGTTTTGTTGTCATAAAGCTTTGTGGTTGAAGGCATAAAAGTCATTAAGTCCATTCACACTTGTTTAACAAGGTTTAAGTCGTAAACAGTAAAGACCATTTTAGTTTTAGACCTTTAAATCTGGTTCTTCATTAGACAATTCTCCCTTCAACTTACATCTAATTTTAGTACATACTGCTTCATTTGAATTAAAATTTGAACTTGCAGTCATTAATGGCCGGATAATACCTAAGCTAATCAAAACCTTCTAACGCTATATAATTATCCATATCATTTGTCCTTTTGCCCGAAAAACGAATACATGAAATGCCCACTTAGCAATATGAAACACGCGAGCTTTCCATTAAATCTTCTACATGTTGACATTATTAATAGCTAATGGCATAATTCGGGTATTACACCATTTCAGGAGAAAATTAAGAATTACGCATTCGCTTATTGCAAAATTTACAAACTGAAATCATCTGTTTTGAAAAGGTTGACTTCTCCAGTGGATGTGTATTTTGCTGTTATACAGGTAAAGACAAGAAATATATGCCAGAAAATGTGAAGTCATGTGCCCACATCCCACATTATATGCCTTTTATGACACGCTTTTGTTTTATGATCCTTTATGTACGTAATGTTTCTGCCAGACTGAAAATTATTTTGTGTCTAAAATAAATAGAATGTTTGTTTCTAGGTGGCCTTCACATGTCCAGGTTTGTGGTAATGAGACAGCAGATGGACTGGCCAGGGAGGGCAGCCTTAAGGATTCTCCTGATGATGGCCGTCTTTCTTTCTCGGAAAGTACTTCGCGAGTCAAGTTAGAAATCACCTCCTCTTTGAGTAAGGACCCCACGCATGAGTGGTACATTGGTAATAGCCCTGACGCTGCTTTACAGAGGAAAGCAATAGATTTGAACAAACAGCTCTAGCTAGGCTACACACTGGTCATCTGCTTACTCTACTTTTAGTCTACTACTTTGGCGTTACAGTCTATCCCTTTTGCCCGAAATGAAATTTCAACTAAGCCACCCCTGCCTATATCTTATCTTGCCTGAGGAGCCAACTGATCTCCTGTCCTGGAGTTGTTCTTCGAGGTTTGAGGTCCACGGGTTCATGGACCTTGTAATGCCCATAACCCGAGAAGGAGAAGGAAAAGCCTAGCCTGCGGAATAATTAGTCCGACGGAGCCACCCCTGGCTAACACCAGGTGGTTTGTTGGACGAAAGAAATAATAACCACAACAAAAAAAAAAAAAAAAAAAAATAAGGAGAAAGGAGGAACAAGAAGACGAGTGGGGCGAAGGGAACTTTAACCCTGGTGGTCGGACGGGATGGTCCGAGCTGTGTTTGGCGGAAGGGTGTTCGCCATTTCTTTTGTTATGCAGAGATTGTTTTTCTCATCCGGCGGAGACAATGTCGGACTTACCTATTCATGCTTGTACCTATAATGTATAATAATCAAGAAGTTTACTTATTAAAGTTTATTGTTAAACAAACAAAAAAATGGGTGTCATCTATGCGTCGATCGACAGTAACATGTGTGAAGCAAATGAACCCCACGCTACGGTATAATACAATGATTCTTATCTGTCTCGTCACGACTACGACAGTCAACTACAGACCTGTTCTGATATTGCAGTCAATTTGGTGGGATAAGCCACAAACAAACAAACAGAAATAAATAAGAAATTGTAAATGAGAGAAAGAACTGTCATGATGCCATCTGTTCAATAAAACGGAAATGATTAAAAACTGATCAGATCAGTTTCCCCTTCCCCAAGTTTAGAAAGCCATGATTGAAATTAAAATGTAAACCTTATATTTGACAAAGCTCCAAGTGAAGATATCCAGTAGGATAAGGTCAAGACTTCTTACGGGCTATGAAATAAGTCTGTTTCTTCCACTTCACTGTCTGGAAATCAAAGATTCAACTCATCCTGCGCGTGATTCTGAAAGTGCTCCAACCTGCTGAAATAAGATTCGGAATTCAGCATCTTCTTTTTCCATGTACTCGATTTGAGCTAACAAAAACTTAACCATTGCCGAATGCGATTTTGCGTATATGCATTATCTCAATTGTTTCCATTTAATTTGTCCAACATGAGAATTTCAATTGTACACTTGTACACGGTACGTTGCAAAGCGTTAGCCGCGTTGCGATAATCGTCTTTGATGACTGGTGAGAAAATCCATTGATTGAAGAAATGAAGCATTGCTTAGGACAGCAAAATCTAAGCTTCTACATGCTGACCATTTGAGGAGCATGTACAGTTAATTGATAAAAAGGGCACAGGAACTGTCTGAGTTTCGAATGTATATTGACCCAAATGAAGAAAGAAGAGGATACTTTATGAGAAAGTATTGAAAACATTTGCACTTCGTACTGCAAAAATACTCCCTTAATGAGTTGCGTCAGACACTGTCCCAAGCAAAAATCACCAACTATTTAAAAAAATAACTATATCATGTACCTACTTATTTAGTAGTAATAGTTGTCTCCAAACGTTTGTCTTTGTCTTGTACACGGTGTATTCATTCTCTTTGCTTCCCTTCATGAGAAATAAGGAAACGCTGAGATACGAAATAAATGTTATTAGTTATACCTATCCAGAAGAAGAAGCAATCCACTGAATCCACCAGAATGAAATTAAATTCAATTAAATATTTCGAAGTACTGTATATTAGCTGCAAACAAACATAAACTCATAGACTGAGCGCGTGCGGAAAGTCCCCAGATAAGGATTACTCAGACAATGTAATAAAAAGCGTAGAAAGTGTATCAGTATTATGGCAAATTTATACGTGAAATGAAATGAAAATTGTTACTTCGTTATAATTTCGCTCATAAAAGTCAATTCATGCTATTTTAGATAGCTAAAACAACAGTGATTAAAATTATTAATTAATTAATTAATTCACATTTTTAGCTGTTTGCTATTAACATCGCGTTCACACTTTTAAATGTTTAGACGTTCACACGTTTAAATGTTTAGAAGTTTACACGTTTAAATGTTTAGAAGTTCACACGTATATACATTCACAGGTTTACACGTTTAGCTATCTGCGGCAACATATTCTTTCGGATTTTAATTTTAACCCGTGGAGCCCCTAGAAGAGCTATATGAAACGCAAATAATTATTAGCTATTGTATTCTAAAATTAGTTCTAAAACTAACTAAAACTGTTTTCCGTGGACCTCAACGGAATATAATTTAATGTCCATGCTTTATATCTTTTTTCTTAAATATTGTTTTTTTTCCCCTAGGTTATGGACGCATCACGACAGCAACTGCCTCTACATGTTGTTCGAATACGTTTGCGGTGGCGAATTGTTCACATACCTACGCAATGCCGGTCGCTTCTCGAGCAGCACTGCGCAGCTGTACGCAGCTGAAATAGTCCTTGCTTTGGAGTACCTTCACAAGTTGTCCATTGTGTACCGAGATCTCAAACCGGAAAACCTCCTATTGGACAGAGATGGTCATCTAAAGATCACAGATTTTGGATTCGCGAAGAAACTTCATGACAAGTACGGTTGAAAACGTTGAATGATAGAATCTACTATTACTTTAAACTGCGTAACATTTTTATTTGAAACGAATTATATTTCCTAACTTTCCCGAAGGTCTTTATTTGGCTTTTCAGTTTCTTATTTCATTTAAAAAATACTTTGCATCTCTTCCGTAATTTGTGAGTTATTGTGTTCTGTGAAGTAATTCTAACAAAAATTCAGTGTCCTTTTATATGAATATTTATTTTGATTAATGCGTAATTTGGAGTGCGTGTTTATTTTTTAGCATTTGACGTGCAATTTTTTAATTGGATTTTGAAGGTTACAGTTAACATAACGTACCAGAGAACACGGTAAGAATTGCATCTTCAAAGATGCAATGTTAGAAGTCAAAATTTTATACAAATAGAGTTGCAAAGTTTATTTCGCTTACTTTTAGTTAATTATTTTCGTACCATCTATTTCTTCCATTAGCAGTCACCGGAATGCAGTTAGATTGAATTTAAATAGCCAGACTGCTGTTTGAAATAGTCTAAGCTGTAAAGTCTAAGATGTCCACCTAGCTAACCTATGCCCTCGGTGAGTGAGTTTTTGTAACTATAACGCATAGGTTAGAATCCCTGTTTCTGAAGCGGAGTTGATTGATGAAGTTATAAGATCTGTAATTATGTAACACTAACTTACATGTTCTTTATACCCTATTAAACTCCCAAGCAAAATAACGCTCCGTCTGTGAAAATACGACAAAGTGTTATGAAGGTTTTAAATATACCATTTTATTAACGTTTGAACTTAACAGAAGCCACAATTTATACGTACAATCCAACTCCACTACTTGCAGGTGTTTAATAATATAAAACTGGAAATAAAGTCTGAAAAGGATACGTAGCCTACACAGATTTTGTTAACTAAGCTCCAACTTAAAACTTTTAACAGTGCGATTTAACTTCAGCTAGCAAAACTAGCTAGTGCCGAAATGCTAACTTGCAGGCTCAGGCGACAGAAAGTGAAGCTGCGAAAGCCGCTGCCGAAAGCTGTATATCTAAAGCATTCAACACCCTTGCCTTAAATAGTCTTAAATCATTTTCATTCTGGTGAGGTCTAACGAAAAGTAATAGTTACAGATCCAAATCATAAAAATGAATTAACATAAAGTAACAGGTGTGGCAGTGGAACGGGCAATTTTGAAACCTCCACCAGCGATATAAAAGAAATACAACATGAATTTACAATACTTGCAGTTTGTGAGGAATGTTTCTTAACAACTTGCATGACGTGCTGAGACATGTCACGGTACAAAGCGTCCACCGCTTGAAAATGATATCACGTAGGTGGCCTCCATTTTCCTTCACATGCATTCCAACCATTTTACGAAAGTTAGACATTCATCTTTGCAGGACTAGCACAGGAATTCCATTAACTTCATTTGGAGTTTGGTTCTTCAGTTCCTGGATGCTGTGTGGTAGGCCACACTCGAAGATCTCACGATGAAAGGTCAGGGGACCTTAGAGGTCAGAAAATATCCCCGTTTTTGGAGACGAGATATCCAGGAAAGATATTCTTTAGAGCATTAATGGATGTGGCCGCGTCTTGTTGGAAGAATGTGTTTGCAGTTTCAGGAAGATCGGCAAGCTGTCGCACTAAAAAATGGTTCAACGCTTGAGTATAACGTTCTGTATTCGCAGTAACAGCCTTGCTGCAGTCGTCGTAAGAAAGTAAGGCCCGATGATTCCAAATGATAATACGCCGCACCACACTACCACTTTCTGACTCTGAAGGGGCTTTTCATGTAGCATTTCAGGATTTTTATGTGACCAGTATCTTAAATTTTGCTTTTTAGGAAAGACTGAGACGTAAAATTTGGTCTCATCGCTCATGATCAGATTGTCGCACAGACCTGGGTTGTCATCCATGAGTTCCAACAATTCCCGACAAAAGCATAATCTACTTGGGAGGTCGTCCCCCATTCAGTTGTTCCACTATCTGCATTTTGTAAGAGTGGTACTGCACTCTCTTGTGCAATATTCGCCGTACACTGCGATCCGATATCTCAAGTTGCAGTGCATACAACTTGGATAGAACGCCTAGTACTTCGGCTGCAGACTTCTTCCACTCTTGCAACATTCTCTGGCGTGTGCATGCGCGTTTTGCACTTCCACCACTCTTTCTTGCGATATCACCCATTTCCTCAAAGTTCTGTAACTTGATAGCTTGCGCAGACGGGACTGGGGCATGATGTGCGAGATTGTAATGAGCATGAAATACACGCTGCGCGGCCAAGCAGCTGTTGTTGTTTTTGTAAACGCATCACGGTAAAAGCTCGTTGTTCCCCGGTCCACGATGCCATCTCGATTGAATACCGATATCAGGTTCAATGTTAAAGTTTGTTGTCCAGATAACGGCACTTGTGTTTTCTGATTTCTAACGTAACTTGCTATTTCCAGGCCTGCCAAATCTATCGTTTCACTCCCGCACCTGTTACCTTATAAAGTTCAGTTGGTTGTTTACTCTTCTGAATGCATGAGTTTGTTAAACCCTGTAAGTAACAGTGACTAGTAATTGTGAACTGCAAGTCATAGTTTTAATAAACTTCTTAGTCAAATTTTCATCTTTTATGTGTTACTCAAATTTAGTTCGTCTTCTGTTAAACATGAAGATGATAATTCCACAGATCACAAGAAGGTTAAACAGCTGTAATTAGATAGTTAATTAGAGTTAATTACAGACTAAATGACTGGAAGAAATTATTTGCTGTGGTTACGTAAAAGAAGTGTCGTTCTTTACATTTTAAGTTCTATTTGAAAGTATTTCTGATGCAATTAAATTGTCAATTAGAGTTAATCTTACACAGCGATAGATTGGAAGGAATTACTTGCTGCGGATGAATGAAAATGGCATTGTTTACATTTTAATTCCATTTGAAAGTACATCTTTAAGTATCTACATATATTAGTATCTGAAACTGATGTGACGTATTTCTGAAAATAAACCTGACACGAACAAATTAATTCCATGTTTGAATTAAGTTAAAATTCTCATGAATATTTAATTTATACGTTGTACTGTTGTAGAATCATTGGGTTAATTGGAAGCAGAAAAGATGAAAAATATGCAACCGCCTTCGCCGGGAATCAAACCACGGACCTCTGGAATACCGGCCTAGCGTGCTATCGTTACACCACGAAGGCACGCTAGGGAAGTGGGAGAAATACCTTATACTGTTATTATCATTTTTCATTAATTGGTTATTTATAATTTCAACCTTTACTATCACATCTCTTTTTCCGTATCCTCACCAGAAATGAAAATGTGTTAGACAGTATCTAATCTGAGGTTTTCGAATAATAAGACAGAGCGTGTTTCTGATTCTCGAGGCCACATTACTAGGTTTCACTAACTCTGGTAAGATTAAAATTGTTCGATTTTGCGAAACACTGTTGATTAATTTTAGCGAAACATTTATCATAACTGATCAGAAATCAATAACGCGAACAAAAAGAACAGACGCTCTTCTTTATATATATATATATAGATAGATAGATAGATAGATAGATTTTGTAAAACTTACAATTTTTTTATTAACAAACTGATTTGAAAGAGAGCACTGGTAACACTTCTCGAAATAAAGCAAATTTTTATCTCCAGCGTGCGAGACTGTTGCCACCCTGAAAAACTGAGGGCGAAAATTAGCCTTTTCAGAGTGTTTAGAGTTTTTAATTAAAATCTCTAATCTTGGCTTTTTTTTTTTTTTTTTTTTTTTTTTGAAAAAAGTGGAAGTTGTCCTTTTCCGGAACTTAGAAAAGAATTGTAGAAAGTTTGGTGACGATAGCTATAGTCCTGATTGAATTAAATGCGAACAAACACACAGACTTTCTTCTTTATGTATATAGATCATGATCTTCGCACTTAAACCACATTAAATGCAATTCAACAGCAATATCACAAAATATTTAAAAAGACCATATCTTTAGAATTTCCAACAGACAGTTTCGCCCGCTGGACGAAAAAAACTGTGTTGCCATTGTTCGCTTTTGAAATCGTTGAGTTTGTTAATCAAAAATGCGTTAAAGGCTTACAAAATGTGAAACAGATAACAAAACAAGTTCCAAATTCGGGCTTGCAGGTGTCATGTTTGGGTGGAGAATTACCTTTTTCAAAATTTGATGGCTCTAGGTACCTTCGTGTTTTCACAACGCGCGAAACATATATATATATATATATATTCATGCGGATTCTTCATTATTTAATTTCTTTAAATATACTACAGAGCTTTAATGTTTGGTGGCAACAATTTAAAAAGTGATTCGCCGTTTATAGTGAAACGCCACAAAATGCCGTTTTGAGACTAATAAATAGCCCTTCTGAGCTAACGCTCCTTTACAACCTTGTTGGCCTTGCAACCTTGTGGGCAACCTTGTTGGCCATTTCAACAATATTAAATCCTTTTCCGCATGTCCATCAGTTCAGTGAAGTAGGAGCTCATCATACAGGTATAGTTCGACCGTCTCAAGCGCAACCCTGGTTGGCATTCTGCCAAAACACATAGACTCGTCCAAAGGGGGCGGTATTACTTGCTGCGAGGTGAAAAGTCTTCTCTCTTCCGGAAAGAGCTATGTTGGAGGGAAAGAAAGTCCCCATCCTTCCACCCCATTTTGATAATAACTGGGTCCGAATGGCGCATGCGTGTTTGCGCTCATGACGGTCGAACTATAACGACGCATTTCACTGTGTCAATGAGGTGGAGTCCCGTCTTGCTCAAATATGAAATTTTCTGAATCATCTTTGATTTGAACAAATAATTAATACTGAAACATATCAAGGAACGATATATCTGTTTTAGTGTTTCCGAAGAATAGAAAAGAAATCACAAACGTTTACATGTTCTGTTCACGCTGTCCTGGTTGCTGTGCAATACATGTTTGTTTACGAAATGGCAGGAAAAAAAAATTAAGCTTTGAGATGAATCTTTTAAGTTTTATTTTAATTAATCAGTTGTCTTAACATTTTGACCTTTCATCACCTTCCACCAAAGCGCAAATTAGTTTACACTCTAAATAAATGCCAAGTGTCAAAGTTTATTATTGATTGTTATCAAAATCAGAGAGTGTTGTGAAATTCAGGTTTGTTATAGAATTTATCACAAGGAAGTCTGCACATGCGAATTAAAAAAATGTAAGATTTGTTTTTCATAAGGTGACTCATAAGGTGACCGTGAAAACATTGCCATAACTTATTATGTATCATTTGTCATAACTCATTTGTCATAACTGTAATTTTTGTAGTAATATCAAATTTCTGATTATAAAATCATGTTCATATACCATTCTTCCTAACAATATTGAATGTTCAGTTCTGAGTGTTTTTTTCCGGCATGTTATTCTTGCTTGCAAGAATGAGCTTTTAATTTTAAGCTATCTGCAATTAATATTCTTCTGTAACAATTTTGGATTTCTAATTCTTATATTATTGCTTCTTGGATTCTTTCCAACAATGTTAGACATTAAATTCTTAGAATTCTAAGAGAATTCTATCTAGTATATTTAGGCTGTCTGAAAGGTTTCGCACCCAACAAAGAAAAACATATTTTTTCTCCGAAATTGCCTTTATTTTTTGACATAGTCTTCTTGTAACTCTATACATTTCTTCCAGCGATGCTCCCATCCTATTAATTTGTAGACGGTCTGCATTTCATTCTTCTTCGCATTTTTAAATCATCTGCATCTCATCTGATTAATACTGCTAAACTTTTAAAATTCTTAGATTATTTGCTTCTCATATTCTGCTCAACAATATTGGACTTTACTCGACTTTTAATTCCATAATTGTTTGCTTTTTTCTTCTTCCTAACAATATTTAACTTTTATTCTTAGAATTTTAAATCCTTTGTAATCTTCGTGACAATGATTGTTGTTGTAGTTCTTTCTAATAATAATAACTTTTAATCCATATATCATCTGCATTTCATACGTTTTTTAATAATCATAGACTTTTAATTCTTTAATTATTTGCTTTTCATGTTGTTTATAATAATACTGAAATTTTTAGTTTATAAATCGTCTTGAATTTTCTTGCATCTTGTATAACGATCTTTGAGATATTTCCACAGAATCTACAGCAAGAAATTTATAGCACGTTCAAGACATTAAGATACCTCTCCTCTACATTTCCTGAAGGAATGAATTTAATCACAAAATATCATATTTAAATATAAAAGCATTTATTATGGCGTACAGTTATTAACGTCATGTATTGTATTTCCTTCAGAACATGGACCCTCTGTGGAACTCCGGAATATCTTGCACCAGAGATCATCCAGAGCAAAGGACACAACAAAGCCGTTGATTGGTGGGCGTTAGGCATTCTCATCTACGAAATGCTAGCAGGGTATGATTGAAATTTCATTTCTTATATTAAATCTGCTTTGTGTTGTATCCTATAAGTATTGTTGCTAGCTACAGGTTCTTGTCTCTCTCTCTCTCTCTAAACAATCACGCTGTATGAGCTGAAAAAAATCGACTTTTAATTTAATTATTATAAATAATGATGACACATAGCAAACCAAATAGCTGTAAATAGCTCAAACAGAGTGCACAGATGTTAAGCAATTCCTCTTTAGCGTACGAAAAATATCGTAGATTTCCAAAATTGCTCACAAAGTAAACTTTTTTTTTATATTTTTTTTCTAGTGGCAGATGATTGTGAGCAATTACAAATGTAACCCAGTCCATTAATCTATACAAGGCCAGATGTGGTGGCCTCTTTATTATGGAGGCACCCAATAGGTGAGCCACTATCGTCTTTCCTATGGAGGGACGGACAGTTACAACCATGCCTTCTCCGGGATTCGAACCCAGGCCCTTCAGCATTGCAGTCAGCTTCCCTGACCACTATACCGACTGGGCGGCCTCGCAGAATAAACTCAAAAACGCAATTCACCTAGTTCTTTTTCAACCGCAAAGACTCAGAGCTTATTAGCAATTAACTAGTGCTAGCTCTGGTGGTGCTACGCAAGGTTCTGGAAGCTTCGGGAAAATCGAGCGTAGAGCTTCGAAAATGAGTTCGTAAATCTTGCAGAATTTCGCCAAGGCCCGTCAGGAACATTTATGCTTATACCTCGCATTCTAGTTGAGCTGTTTTTTTCAATTTAAACCCTGCTGGACTCAAGATAGGGAGATCTAAAATTCTTCCCGAAAAATAAATTTACAGCATGAAGCATCTAACGTTACCCATTTCCAAAGTGGGATAATACAGTTGAAGATAGGTAAGTCAGGGTCGTGGATTTACAAAGCAAATTTAACATCTTCCGTACAATGTCTTGGAGATGACCTGCATGACAACAACTTTATTGTCCTCACCTAGGTACCCTTACCATTACGCAATGTAGGGTTCCCAGCGCAGTATTTGCCATTTTCAGACTAACCGCATTTTTAGTAAGGTGTGAAGGAAAGCTTGAGCTTTCAGATACCCTCATAAAAAAAGATTTACTTTTCCCTGGCTTCTGTTTTGGTTTGGTAACAAATCGGTGGCTTTTGTTCTAATTCCCGCATCTTACTGCTATAGACTATTTTATACCGATATTTGTAATTTAAAGTTTTACTCACCCTATTAAGCATTAAGAGCTTTTTAAGTGCATTTCGTTAGGAATTACGGAAGTTTTTTAAGACACTCTACGTCTCGATAAGTGCATTCAGGACATGGCAGTAATGCTTTGATTGTCTTGGAGGACAGCTCTAATACCAGAAACCTCGCTATTGAAAAAGTGAGTCTTACTTTCTGTATCTAAGATTTGCTCCCGCGTATCCGCAACCGTGTTCAGTTTTTTTAATTGTGGTGTATAATAAATGCTTTATCTTATTTTGAAAGAGGGAAATGTTAAATACCGCCTCTTGTAATATTTGAACGTTGCTGGCACACTTTTTATTATTGCTACAACTGTTTCTGATATGAATGTAATATGGATCAGGTCGGCAACAAGAAGAAAAATATTGCGTCTATTGTGCACAAAGTTCTTAGGGACATTATTCACGACAGAACGAGTTAGGCCAGCCCTATCTAAATTTTGACGGAGGGGAGCGTATCCAAGGATCACTCACTCTTCATTTTATATCATCAATCAACCTTTTCAAGGGACTTTCAATACGACGATATTTTATTCGAAGCCAGGTCCAGCATTGTGGTAGCCGGCTAACCTGTCATCATGCCGAACAGAGCGGCGGTGTATTTTTTAATTATTGCTACTGAAACTTCTGTTCTCTTAAAACTTTATGTCGCATTTTTGTTAGCCCACCAACAGCCGAGCGATAATGTTGCTGAACACTGGTAATTCGGTCCGAGGTTCGAACCGTGCGGAAGGGCTGGTTGCATGGGCGTTTTCGGGGTTTTCTCTATGTGTAACGTGTGTACGAGCCATTTCCCTTAGAAATTCCTCCACGAAGGTATAATTAAATAAACCAAACCACATTTTTTATTTTATACGCTTCAAGAAGTTTGAAATAAATATCTGCTTAAATTTAGATAATTGGTTATATTCATTATAGTGTTTATTTTGTTTCGTGCACTGAATTTTGGAATGGCTGAATTTTAAAGCTAAATAAAAAAAGTAAACTTTTTAGTATTAAATTGGCACAAAACTTCGATCTTGTGTTCAGAATCCTATGCTGACCTAAAAATTGTTATGCTGCGCTCGCAAAATATATAAATTTGTTGAGAATATTAGTAGAAATGTTCAGATACCATCTGCTACCTACTTTTGACAAGTGTAAAATAAGTAATCTCATTTTTAGACAAAATTTCCTCGCTAAGTTAAAAAACAGTCTAATTATCCTCAATCTGTGAGTCATTAAGCTCATTACCTGCATTAAATAATTTTATGAGTCAACGGGTATGGTCTATTGCCTTTGCCGAGTGACTGATATAGTGTGATAAAGCAGGATTAAAGTGATTTTTCGCCTAGTATTTCTTTGTCACGTTTCATGCTCAAAGACAACAGCTTCGACATGCTCTCAATACGTTGTGAAAATGAAAAAGATTTCGAATGTACTTTTCTTGAGAGAATCATATGGCACCTGTCTATTAAACTTAGAAATCATAGGTACCTGTCTATTAAACTTAGAAATCAAGAAAATAATTCGAGTGACGAAAAAGATATTTAAATGGTAAAAATATCGAAAAAGCGATTTTTTAATTAATGAACTACTTTTAAACGGCGGGTTTTAATTAATATTCAAAAGCGCAGTCAAAAAGATTTAACAAAAGTAGTTAAAACTTCAAACATGACAGACCAGTCTTCGTCCCGGCTTCTACCCACAATTTCAGAATACTCAAAGAACGCAGTAATAGAATTAAAAATGTGATGTAGACACCACGGTTACAGCCGAAAACATCGCGGATGAAAACGTCGCGGAGAAAACAACGCAAGGCGAAAACGTCGTGATACAAAACATCGTGGGAGAAAACATCGCAGTTCTAAAACATCGTGATACAAAATATCGTCGTCCAAAATAAAGCGGTTCAAAAATTTCGCAGTTTAAAAACATCGTCGTAGAAAATATCGTTATAAAAAATAAAGTATCTCCAAATCATCGCATGACGATAACGTCGCAGACGTGCTTTTTCCAGGCTTTAATAATTATAAATGGATATTTTCATAATGATTTGTGAGTGCAAGATGGAAAGAAGGATAATTTTTACTTTCATATTTTTTATTAACTAATAAATTTTTGCTGAAAAAGTAAGAAGGAAATTTTAGCATAGAAAATTAAGGCAACCTATAGCACTTAAAGAATTTTAAAATGACATAGTTTACTAACAAAGGTCATTAATAAATCATTTTTTATAAAGTTTTTACTGGTAATTTTTCATTAAAAGTATAATCTAAAAAATGTTTAGAAAAAGGAAGCTAACGTGAACTGCATAACCTTATCTATAAAAAATTCGAAGCTAATTATGAGATTATTTTCTTCCCTTTTGTGAATCTAATACTCTTATATAATGAAGTAATTCTTGTTCTTGTTTAAATCTGCTTCAGTTTATTGTTAAGTATTACGCTTCCTTTCTTACTTTTTTCAGCAAAAATTTATTAGTTAATAAAAAATAAATGAAGTAAAAATTATCCTTTCTTTCCATCTCGCGCTCACAAATCATTATGGGAATATCTATTTACAATTAAAGCCTGAAAAAAGTAGGTCTGCGATGTTATCGACCTGCGATGATTTATCGATACTTTATTTTTTACCGCGATATTTTCGATCACGATGTTTTTACACTGCGAAGTTTTTGAACCGCTTTATTTTCGACGGCGATATTTTGTACCACGATGTTTTAGAACTGCGATGTTTTCTCCCACGATGTTTTGTAGCACGACGTTTTCGCCTTGCGTTGTTTTCTCCGCGACGTTTTCGCCCGCGATGATTTTGCCGCGATGTTATCGGCGGACACCAGACACCACATGACTTCCTTCTACGACCTATTAAATTATACACATTTTTCATTGCGTTTCATTTAAATTTACTTCCCCGAATTTAATTAGGGAAATATTTCTCATTCAATCAATTTAGTACTCACTTCGCGGCGAGGAAAAAATACATAAAATCTCAAAACATCTTCCTTAAGAATTGTGAAATACAGTAAACCCTAAAACAACAAATAGACTTATAAACCATAAAATTGTAAAAAACAATTTTTACAATTAAAATTAGAATTTTAATTAATTAAAATTAGACAGGAAGACAGACTTTCCAGTGCACAAAATTTCTGGCCCTACTGGGTGAAAAGACGCTGAAGTTGGTCCAGAAACTGACTTAATTCACTATGCTACTAAGCTTCAAATGTAAACAAATGGCGGCATCATTAGGCTTATTGGAACTTAAACAAATTTTCAGTTTTTAATAATTCTACAATTGCAGATCAACTAAAGCCATAAAAACCTTAACCGGAACATAGAAACAATATAATTCAATCACTTTTAAAGCAAAAAATGCACAATTAACCATCATATAAGAATAAAAATACTTAGCTCACCGAGCGAAGTAGATATATATATACATATGCATGTATTTGTATACTTTTGGTGCGGTCCTATTGCGACCAAAAAAAGGAGGTTTACATCTACATGTTATAGTAGTCCTATACACAAAATTTCAACGTTCTGATGATTGGCATTTGTAAGTTATGCGAGTTTTGTGAGCTCCACTGTTAGTTAAGCGAGATACGTATATACGTACGTACGTACGCACGTACTTACAGACGTCACCAAAAAGTCTCTTCTGAATCCATTTTAAGTTCATTTCACAACCCATTTTGGGAAAAAAGAGTCCTTTATTCTGTCCGTACGTACAGATATAACGCAAAAACATCGTTCAAATGGAATTGAGAGCAATCAAAAT